TGTAAAAGAAAGAGTGCAGAGAAGAGGAAGAAAGAGGATTAGGGGACTGGAGGCTAAAACATTGGAGGAACGGTTGCAGGAACTGGGTATGTCTAGTTTAATGAAAGGAAGGGCTAGTGGAGACATGATAGCAATGTTCCAATATTTCAGGGGTTGCCACAAAGAAGAGGGAGTCAACCTATTCTCCAAGGCACCTGAGGGCAGGACAAGAAGCAATGGGTGGAAACTAATCAAGGAAAGAAGAACCCAGAACTAAGGAGAAACTCTCTTGACAGAACAATTAAACTCTTCAAAATACTCATTGTCTTTAGGTTCTTCAATGAAAGGCATAGAACATCCTCTAGTGGTCCGCATTTGAACAGCAAGACATGTTCTGCTTCTCAGAAGGCTAATCAACAGACGAGAGATGGGTAAACCAAGTTGCCAGCTTCCCACTATGCCCATCCTCAAGATAGGTTAGGATGTGACAAAATTGGAACTGAGAAAATGGCAATTGCGCATGTACTGCATTTATAACGTATCTTGACTTACTGGGAAAATACATGAACATCAACCCTTGGAAGCACCCTCCATAAATTCCAGCAGGTTTCAGGTGGTAACAAAAGTTACCTGTAGCGCCAGTCAGCCCCACTGGCCTAGTTCCCAACTTTCCTGCACTGGATTTAAGAATCAAGAATTGAGAAATTCTAGGTGTCTATGATAAAATGCAATTATTAGGAAAACTGATCAAGGAACTCTATGCCAGTTTTTCTCAACCATCGCAACTTTAAGATAGATGAACTTCAACCCCCAGAATTCTCCAGCCAGCATGACTGGCTGGAGAATTCTGGGAGTTGAAGTCCAACCATATTAAGATGGTCAAGGTTGAGAAACAGTGCCCTGTGCCATTTGCCTGAACATTCATTCATATAACAAATAACTAGTGAAAGTGTTCTAACAAGCCAACCTGAAATGGGCTGACATACAATCATTATTAAGACATGGTGGTTTCATAGATCAGCATGAGAAGAGGTAGATAGTGTAGCAGAGGCTGGGAACCAACTTCCAGCAGAGGTAGTGGGTCAGTCATCAGTTACTGAGTTTAAACATGATTGGGATAGACACATGTCCATCGTCCGGCAAAAATTAAAAATCACATTTAAATAAAATATAAAAATAATGGAAAGGAAGGAAGGAAGGAAGGAAGGAAGGAAGGAAAAGAGAGGGAGCTAGACAGGGAAGGCGAGAAGGAAGGAAGGAAGAAAAAAGAAAGAGAGGAAGAAGAGAAGGAAGAAAAAAGAAAGAGAGGAAGAAGAGAAGGAAGAA